GTGTGTATTCTGTAGGGATTATATATATATATATATATATATATATATATATATATATAGACGATTCTCGTGCGGAATGACCACCTCATGTGATGTGATACACCAACGCACCGACACCCGAGAGATATCAGCCACATCAATCGAACCAGTTCCTGTGACTACATATTTTTAACTAGCTGGGATGCTACAGTAGGTGATCCAAACAACTGGACTCAGTCGGCACTCCTGATATATTTGGATTTGCTGACAAGTGTCGCAAGCCACGGGGAAACTCTGGATTCCGAAGTAAGAATTAGCACACGTGCGGAGAATTAGCATAGACAAGATGCGATGGAGTCTAATCTAGCAAGCGGGACACACGCTAGCTACATTGAGGTCAAGGTCACGGCATTTGCGCACGTCACAAAAGCGAAATATTGGGTTGACGTCAATGGCGCACGTGACCTAGATTACAACTGCCCTGAGGCCGGAAATGCGCATGTTCGACAGAAACATAGTAAACAAACGGAAAACCCAATCCGACTGGTGCGCGCCGCATTCCGAAGAACAGCAACGGATTTCTTCCCTCGTGCGCAAACCGCAAAAAAGAGGAACCGATAGTGTTTACGTTGGGACTGGTGGTGTTCTAGTTCGTTCCGGAGAAGTCCGCCTAAATAAAACATCTATACCGGATCCTGGAATGCTACCGGAATTGCATAAACTTCCGCCCAACTATACAGGGTAGTAAAGTGTGAGCCCAGTTTTAAAGAATTCTGCTGAAGAAGGCATTGAGCAATCAGGTGAGAAGCTTATGCAGCCTATCTTGGAATGCATAGCACTCTTCAGCTAGAAGGAGCTGGCGCAGACGAACGGATCAGGAGAGTTAGATAGCTGGCTTATGTGGTCATCCTGTAAACGCGTACATTTAAAGTGCCACTACACGCTGAACACCATGTGCAGGCTGTAATGGATAATCATAACTCATAGCCACTATACAATACGCGTTTTTACGCCAAAATGAACCACGAAAGCTTAATAAAAAAAATAAGGGAAGATTGACCCTTGATCGTTGTTTATCTCCGAGGAAGTGCTCAAAGCTTCAGCTGAAAGCCAGCAGAAGAGATGAGGAACACGTGATTCGTCCAGCCAAACTTTGGCAGTTTCTGAACAAGCAACAGAAAACCATGCAACTTCGACCTTTCTCTTGATGCGTAAAAAAAAGGATCGATATGATCAATAAACAGGTCAATTCACAGTGTCCTTTTTTTCTCATACTTTGTTCGAAGACTTCGTTTTTGATTTCACACATTGACGAAGTCGTGGAAAAAAATCGAGCAAACAAAAGCGTACCGCGGTTGTGAGCGGTCCAAAAAAGCAACACACAAAACTAGCTAAAAACGACACGTATTGATGAACCTGGAGGGAAGTTTCAGAGTGGTCTATCAAATGTGACAAGGGTGCACGGAAAGCCAGGAAAACCGGAATTCGTTTTTTTGGATGGCCCAAAAAAACAGCATTTCCCATATTGTGCATCAGAAGGGTAATATGCACGGGAAACTAAACAGCGGAAATCATACTATTCAAAAAAAAATCCAAGAAATAGGATTACTAACTTAGTTTACAGACTCCAGTTCTGTAAAATTTACTCTACAAAAAAGTGGTGCCCACTTTCTCCCCTTTTGCTCAACTACGTCATCGATCAAATGATGGGACGGACGATGGAGGGTAGTCTGGTGCCTGCTGGTGGGAATCTCTTCAAATTGGAGCACACAGACATCGTCCTGAGTACAAGCATCCAGTATACTTTTTCCCGCGAATCGCACCTACAAAATGCAGTCAGGCTTCACAGGGCGCAGTCTTTGAACATCCTCTCGCAATTCAAGAAGTATTGGAAACTGTGGGAGAGTTTTACACATGGGCTCTGACGGACGTGTCTAACCAAGTCAGTGCACGAATCTCAAAAGCAAAATTACACTTGCCAATCTGCGTCACCTGTGCCGTTGAACACACATACCCCTGGATTTCAGGGGTCACGTGTACTACACTCCAATGAGAACTATATTGTTGTATGATAGATGATCTGAAACATCTTGAGGTTTATACCAACTGTGTCTCGGAAGCGTGTCGCATAGGGTCAGCTGACTGGTAAAGGGGGGAACCGGAGAAAGTGTTTGGCCGTGCAGCAGGTAATTCCGTCGCGGAAAACATGCAAGACTAGCAACTGCGAAGGGGGGGAGGTCATATGCTACACAAGCCAGATCATCGTCTGCTGCGACGGTTGTTGTTTTCCCCCAGCCTCTCGCATAGGTAATTTGCGAATCGTGGAAGGATGTGAATCAGTACAGCCCTCCCATGAATCTGCGCTTGCCTGGGTTAGTTGGAAGATATGACGGCTAAGCTTATCAGTGAGCTTCGAGACATCAGTTTACAGATTGTCTGAATGAGCATTTGTAGGTGCAGATACCTCATAGTGCTCGAGGACTGTTTTTGGTTCCCTATTTTTCCACCACAGGGCTTTAAACACGAGGAAGTGAACCTCAGAGTTGGACGGAATCGAAGCGTTAGTGTAATGTTACCGTCTAAGCGTAGAATGGCTCTAATGAATCTTCGTCCGCACTCTAGGAATTAAAAGCAAGGAGCAAAAGTGATTCTTAGAAGGAACGCAGTGATCCAAGTCTTGCAAGATACCACAGGCGTCCAACCTGATAAGCGGACTAACTGTGTACTAAATAAGTTGAGAGCTTAAAGCGTTGGAGAGCTACGTTTCTCCGTAGTACTAATTGTGTTATGTGGAGTGTGGAAATAACAAAACTTTGGTTATTAAGTTCGGTGCGAACAGTACCTGAACATATCTCAGATCCACTGGATATGGGTGTCGAACTAGGACACTGTGTTGGTGTGTGGAGCTGGGTACTGGGTTGAGGCGGCGTCTCTGAGGTAGGTACGTTCAACAGTGGATCGTCCATGAAGTCGACAACTGTCGAAATACCTGTTGCATTGATAGGGTTAGACGAAACGTCAGAATTTTTGTCAGAAGTGGGGGATCTGGAAGAAAGCAATGGAATATGCGTTAGCGAATGCCCATGGCTGTATGCGTAGTACTCGTAAAGGAAATCAATTTCCACCCAAAATACGAGACAACCAATCAAACGGGTTTGTGGAAGTCTATGAAAGACTAATCTATATTGTTCCCCGGGACGAGCTAAGACGGAGCTAAGACGCTCGGTTCTCATTGATCCAACCCTTAGCTAATCAACGTGCTCAGTTCTGATGTGTGGTTAGTTCACTTTACAGTCGTCGCATCGACAACAGGGGGGACTAGTCCGAGGGAAAGAAGCTCGCCTCGAATCAGTCGCACATGCAGGGTAAGCAAACAAACTGCCATTAGAAGCACAGCAAAGAATACCAAATCTCTTGCCTTATTTCAAAGTAGCTGCACAAATTAGCCGACTCAAAAAGCACGAGGGCACTCATGTCCCCAAGTGAGCATTGGACAACTAAATGAGTAGGCAGCAATCAACTGTACAAGCAATCGAAATTTACCATTTACGTTGAAATGGGGGAACTTTTATGTCACAGGACCAAATACACCTCAGTGATACATTGACAACACAGACATGGAGAGTGAACACGAGGTGGAAATCCCACCTGAGGGGTCTGGATTGCACACCAATAGGGGGCACATCACAAGATGAATAAAAACAATATGAAGGCCCAGTAACGCTATGTCTCCCAAGAATGCACACTGGTAGGTCCGAAGAAACTCGTTCGAAGGATTCCAGGCGCTTACTGGAGATCCTGACGTCCTGACAGGAGTAATTAAAAAGAACGACATCCTAATTATAAATACCTTGGAGGACTATCCAACTTTGTCGGCGAGCATTTTGCAGGAAAGTTCTCTGAAGGAAACGCGAGATCCATGGAGAGTGGGCCTCTTGACAGTATGGGAGAGGGAGGCCCATCGATCACACCATTCTGTGATAGCGGACGGTCGAAGCGATTGTTGGAAGACAAAGACTTCGACACTGTGGCCTGAAGCAGTGAAGTAACACCACTGGGCGAAGACAGAAGAGATCCCAAACCCTTCGTAGGTGTTTCTGTCGTGGAGACGGGCAATGACCCGACATCAGATTGAGTTTCACCACTAGACTGTTGAGGTATCGATTTTTCAATGGAATTGCGTGGCAGGAAGTAACTCACATCGGCCACTTCGACGTCGCCTGCAGTAGGGTCTGTGCCCAAGTCAACGAACTCGGAAATCACATTCGGCCCAAGCTCTTGCAAAAAGCCCGTCAGCACCTGCTGACTCAGATGAGGATCAACTATGGAAACTTCGTTACCGTCAACATCATCGGTCAATGGCCAACACGTGGTGGGGCACTCCGAATCCGGTAGAGAACTGGGAAAAGGTGTTTCGTCTGATAATGAGTTGGACAGAGATCTTCTGGAAGGTCGAGGCTCCGATCCGCTATCCACGAGACTCTCCCGAAGGGCCATATATAGACCTACAGGTAAGGAGGAAATATTTAGGGGATTTATTTCATTGGTAGCTGTGACAGCCTGGAGACAGTTTGCACTCTCAGACAGACAGCCAAGTGTGGACAATGGTTCTGTGACGGACACCACAGACGTGAAAAATGCCTCGATACACCCACTGCAGTGCACACAACCAAGAAGGGACACTTTTCCACAGTTCACAGTAACGCATCCATTAATCATCGACTAGTGTACGATCTCGCTCAATGGGAAAGACTAAGTAAATCCCCTCCATTAAGTGCCCTCATTTAAGGAATCGCTGTAAACAAGCCAACAGACAAACTTAATCGGTCGGTAACGCGTCGTTATGAGGGCTTCTGTGATGAGAACAATCCTCATGGTAGTGGGAGGGTAATTTGCATTTCATTTGACGATATGTACGGGATTCCCTGAAACACCTGTGTTTTAAGAAGCGGTACGTTTAGTGAGTGCCCTGGTAGTAGTATTGACGAACGGAGGCCCGACATTCACCGAAACTCGCATAAGACACAAGTTAATCCCCAGCTATCGGGTCCGCTAACAACGGGTGACAGTCAAAACGAACTGAGAGTGGGAGACCAGAAGTATCAAAAGCCGAAAGCAAAAGGCTAATAGGAAGGTGGAACTTGAATAGCAAAAGCACTGCATTCATCTCTGGATAGTGGGTGTCATAAATATGGTCATAGATACTGTCATACTAGTGAAAGGGAGAAGGTCTTCGCTGCACAGTGATTTATTAGAAAGCACCAAATGAACGGTTACAGACTATTGGACAGGGGAGCAAAACTCCCATATGCATCTTGTTTACAAAAACTGAATATCCATCCCCTCCATGAACGCGTCTTCCTGAACTTTCCTGGTCATTCATTGACTGTTACTTAAATGCAAGCAAATGCTAAAAAGGGACTCCACAAATTCCGTAATAGATCTCACTTTTCAAGAGACGCGAAGCAGATTTATGGGAAAGCATACTACTCGCATGCTCCCATCAATAGTATCCACCGTTACAATAGTTTAACGGGTTTGAAGTGAGGAAGTGACTTCATCATTTACTGGGAGGGATTACAACTCGCAGTCTAAAGAACATCCCCGAAAATGAGTAAACCAGCGATGGCTGACTGTCAGCATTGGAAGTGGTGGTCCAGCGTCCTCAGCATAATTCGATAGTATGTCGGCACTTGATCGGTGGTTGAATTTCGACCCATTAGGGAGAGTGAAAAAACAATATGAGCGATTTCACTAACAAAGCTCACTTCAAAGTACATCTGGCGCTTCGTCACTTGATTTTTTGGGTGAGGATTGCATCCGAAACGAACTGGACGAATCTAATGAAATAAGCCTCCTAAATGGCTAAGTTAGTTTTTTCTTTGGATGCGAGGTATCATCTAAGGGAAAACCGAGAAGCACAGTACAACTGATACATCTTGTAGGGGAACCAATAGAAGTACGGATCTCATGGATCTTTAGGGAGGTCTGAACTTGGAACCTATCATTCACCAACGGACAGCTGACCGGCACGGTGAGAATGATTCCAAACATGAGGGAATCGGATGTAAAGTGCTTGTTTGCTTTTCAGTGTAGAGTGGGAGTCACGTGAGACACGGCTGAGGTTGACGGAAATGGAAACAGAGCTTCAACGGTAAAGGCGGGGGATAAAGTCTTGGGGAAGTCACGTGGACTGCATGCGCCGCCTTAAGATATTCGTAAATAACAGGTGACTGCTATAAAAACGAAGTTGAAATTTGGTGATTCAGGGTATTCCTGAACAATCCATGCACAGACGACGCACATTTGGTGATAAGTGTTCATAACGCGGATGAAAAGTCTGTGCTACTCAACTTTTCAGTTTCACTGATAGGAGGGAATTCAGAGTTGACACGTAAAAGTTCCGTTTTACTTACAACCGATATTCATTCATAAAGTTAATCACAGCGGCTAGTGCCTTATACAAAGCAGTTTAAAAAAAAGTATATTCCACTGTTTGTTAATAGGACCACGAAACTAGTCCGATTCGAACTAGCGAATACGGAGGCCAGAAATTAATTACCCGACTGATCTAAAACCTTTGATTTTATTCCGATTATTTAGTGTCCTTGTTCAAACAGCTCCTGGGCGAGATGGTCAAAGTGGCTAGAGCGCGAATTTACTGACCGGAAGTTCCGTGGTTCGAACCCGACCTCTGCCATTCGACTTTCCCTGTCTAGAACTGGGCGACCTGGCAGTATCCCAGCCCTCGTGCTTCCTCCGGGTACGATGGCAGCTATGCACCGGAAGGGTGTTACAGCTAAACGATTATTATTATCACCAAGCAACCCTCGATGCTCAAAATATTTGAGACAAGTTGCACACGTTCGCTATGTTTACGTAATCCAGCGCACATTGGTCGAAGCAACTACCCGATAGAGCGGCGGAGACAAACCACTGAATCCATCTGATATTTTTTCGATCAACTATCGTATTAAATCCCATAATGGGGAACATTTTCAGAGGACTCCAAAATGCCTTCTCGACGGGTTATTTTCTCGTGGGAGGGTGGTCGCCAAAAGCGGATTCCACTTGCATTCAACGTCCGTTGTGAGAGATGTGATAGATAGAAATTCTCAACTCGTTTGGAGTTCTCCAGTCACGTGGTACTTTCGCACATAGGCTAGCAAGCTAAGCCTCCGTCACTTGGGTTACCAGAAACTCGTGGTTTTTAAGCGTATCTAAAACTGAACAGAAACCACTAAACACGATAAACTATCGAGACGACGTATTAGTGTATAAAAAGGAAAGTCATGATGGATATTGTGAATACGTACGTCATTGCATCTGCTCCTTCAGTGGTGTTAATTTCAGTCCGTATTTAAGTTGTGAGAAGTTTCGACGAATGATGGTGTGCGCATATCCAGGCCAAGCCATTGGTTGAATTAAATCCAGTAGAAAATAATACACTGACGCGGCGAGTAAGCGTATCACATATGCTTATAACCATCTCTTCAGATTGACTGCCAACTAGTAAATCTGGGTCAATGACAGGCACTCCCATAATGCTGTCTCCTCTTGGGGAGTAAACTTGTCGTTTGAGGAACCAAGGGTTCGCCTTCGGGTTCTACATGGCTTGTTTCCTCGAGAATGGAGTACTGTACCATCAAAACTACTAAGAACGTGCACAGTCATCAGGAATCACACTGTGGACATAAAGTCCGTATTCCGAGTTATCCATCACGTACCGTTCTAGCATCTGAACACTTTCGAACATGAATTGTGACAATCGACATTGCATCACAAGATTTCACCGTCATGTGCACACAAAATCGGTTACCCTTTGGACTCAGATGACCCGGCCAAACAGTGACGTGTTTACCATCCAGGTTGGCAGCACTACGATCACCAAATGACCCGGGGTTGGACCAGTGTGTGACATGTTGACAGCCTGTTAACTAACCATAAGAAATCAAGCACATATTTCGCCTCCAGTCATCGTTCTTAACATCGGATCTGTTAATCAATCAATCAATTCAATTTACTTTTCACCCATAAACCGTGTCTCAGCGCCTAGCGTCCGTCTCTATCCCCGCCGTCATGACAGTGAAGCGGAGGCGGGAAAGGCGAACAACGATTGGCTTCCAACTGGGCGATTTCCGATTGGTCAGCTATTTATGGAACTCCGTGACGCTGGACATGCAACTGTCGACTCGGACTATGCTTGATGTCTTGCTCTCAAGACGATAAAAGTTAACTCTCACTAGTCGCCATGGAAGATAATAAGCTCTTAACCCACGTTAAGACAGGCAGCTGCAATAGAACGTGACACTTAAAATAGATCATTACTCGTGAGTATCATATACAGGAACAAAGGCGTCAGAATTTCTTTCTAATATGTTATGGAATATCCAGAAGGCTCTTGGCATCCTTCCAGAGAGTTGATCTTCAGTTCGACTGAATTGAGAGGAACGCAAACACGTAACACTGAAGTGCGCAGATCCCCTCCGAAACATGCACACGGAGATAACTGGGATGATAGCTGCTTAATTATTGAAAACCAGATTCGAATAAACTCACATCTGTTATAGTACGCGAAAAGCTATTAGGTTAGCAGTTTTCCCCTATTTCTCCATTCTAAGTGGAACGGTCGAATTTTTAAAATACCACATCTAAGGCAGCTCCCCATTGAATTTACGGTCAAATAAGATTTGACCCTAGTATAGACATCATCATCGCTGAACAAGAGAGAAAAATAGGGAGCCTTCATGGCGTTTCACATGCAGCGTGGTAGATTAGAGAAGCTAATCTACCTTTATATGGATACACTTTCCTTAGGCACTTCCACCCGAAAATCGAGAAAGTACAGTTTCATTACGGACGGGTGCTTTTCAACACAACAATGTGCGTGGTAGATTAGAGAAGCTAACCTACCTTTATGTGGATACATAAAGGTATCCCGAAAACCGAGAAAGTACAGTTTCACTACGGACGGGTGCTTTTTAACACAGCAACGTGCGCTCCAATTTATTCCATCACCAGCCTATTTGCCTTTAAGTGCGGGTCTCTGAGATTCTCGTTCTAGTAATCAGTGACGTCAACTAATCTTTATTAATCAGCAGGCATTATATGAAAATGATAGTATCCTTCCAGACTAGATGTACGGCTAGCTATGGAAGTATAAACAAGGATATAGGGAAAACGCACCAGCTCTTTATCAACAGTAGGAGTTACAAACGACAAATGGCCATCGCGCTACTTCCAGAATTCTACGTCATCACCATCGTTCAGCTGTACCATCCTTTAGGTGCCTAGCTGCCACCCGAAGGAAGCACGAGGGTAGGGATACTGCCAGGTTGCCCAAGCCTAGACAGGAGAAGTAGAGACAGAGGTCGGGTTCAAACCATGAGCCTTCCGGTCAGTAAACTCGCGCTCTACCACTGAACCATCTCGCCCCCCATCAACATACCTCATGAGGACTTCACGGTACGTCTCTTCCCAGTGACAGTGTCGATGTGTGGCGACCGCGTTAGCAAGGTGAACCTGTAGTAATCAAGACGGGAAATGACTTTCGCTTGCCACTCTCCGCACCCCACCGTATGGTCTCAAGATCAATGGGACGCACCAGATACACTTTAAATAGATTTGACAAAAAGCCACAAGGACTTACGGTTCACGTGTTCCTCATTAGCTGAGGTTTCGTGTGAGTCCTGAAGACGCGACGGATTCTCTTCTTGCTTCTTCCCGGCAACACTATCTTTCTCCTTGTGACTTGAAGCCCTGTGTGTGGGCAGCACTGGATCAGGAATAGGAGGACTTGGTGCCTTGGTTCCATTGAGTATAGTCCACCCAGTATCGATGAACGGCCGTAATTTGTACGACCAATGGAGAAGATCGGTAGTCTCCGACACTAACTTCCGCATTGTGCATTCTTCTTTTGTGAATGACCAAGGGAATTCTCCGCCGCGAACATAAGCATCGAGAAGTGCTTCGTCGATGCGTGATTGGCGAGCGGGGCGAGTTTTCAGCAGACACCCGTCACACAGAAAAGTACGTCGAGCTGGAGACGTAGTGGCAGGCGACACGCCATAGCAGGCTTCGTGCATGCAACACAGACAACTACTGCACTGAATGAGACCGGAATAATTGTCAGCTACGTTGCAGTGGCTGTCACACCGGATGCAACACAGAACACGCATCGGTTTAGAAGGTCCGGGGCTCTTGGCTACTGACCTGCAAGCAACACAGAATATGTAATAAGAGTATAGTACAGTAACTAGGTAGGTTGAACACCGCAAGAATCGGTCTGTCATTGGGGGAGGGGGCATGAAATGGCGGGTAACAATGACAAGGCGATGTGATCAAGAAAATCGATCAACTGCAGCACCATTTGGGTAGCTAGCTGCCATGCCAACGGAAGGAGGCATGAGGACTGGGGTACTTCTAGGTTGCCCAAGGCTACACAAGAGCAGTCAAGAGGTTGAGATTGGGTTAGAACCACGAACCTTCCAGTCGGTAAGCTGACGCTTTGACCACTGAGCTATCTCGAGCCCGATGTGATCAAGAAGGGTAGCATTAATCATTATCCTTTTGTCAAATTAGCTTTCCTATAGACTATATGAGCTGATGTTGTGGGAGCGTCCAGACTGGATATGCTAGCTCCGAAACTGAAAAACTCAGGTAACAGCTTGATGTATACCCCTACGCGCCCAAAGGATTTTGAATACTTTTGTTCACAGCCACACCACTCTCGTTTGAACGGCCATGTTCCTATTCTGGCGTAATTATTCCGGTGAGTCCACACCAAAGGGAAGCACTGGACTCGAGTTTCGCTCTTATTAGAACTGATCGGCAGTGAATTTGTACGACCAATGGAGAAGATCGGTAGTCTCCGACACTAACTTCCGCATTGTGCATTCTTCTTTTGTGAATGACCAAGGGAATTCTCCGCCGCGAACATAAGCATCGAGAAGTGCTTCGTCGATGCGTGATTGGCGAGCGGGGCGAGTTTTCAGCAGACACCCGTCACACAGAAAGGTACGTCGAGCTGGAGACGTAGTGGCAGGCGGCACGCCATAGCAGGCTTCGTGCATGCAACACAGACAACTACTGCACTGAATGAGACCGGGATAATTGTCAGCTACGTTGCAGTGGCTGTCACACCGGATGCAACACAGAACACGCATCGGTTTAGAAGGTCCGGGGCTCTTGGCTACTGACCTGCAAGCAACACAGAATATGTAATAAGAGTATAGTACAGTAACTAGGTAGGTTGAACACCGCAAGAATCGGTCTGTCATTGGGGGAGGGGGCATGAAATGGCGGGTAACAATGACAAGGCGATGTGATCAAGAAAATCGATCAACTGCAGCACCATTTGGGTGGCTAGCTGCCATGCCAACGGAAGGAGGCATGAGGACTGGGGTACTTCTAGGTTGCCCAAGGCTACACAAGAGCAGTCAAGAGGTTGAGATTGGGTTCGAACCACGAACCTTCCAATCGGTAAGCTGGCGCTTTGACCACTGAGCTATCTCGAGCCCGATGTGATCCAGAAGGGTAGCATTAATCATTACCCTTTTGTCAAATTAGCTTTCCTATAGACTATATGAGCTGATGTGGGAGCGCCCAGACTGGATGTGCTAGCTCCGAAACTGAAAAACTCAGGTAACAGCTTGATGTATACCCCTACGCGCCCAAAGGATTTTGAATTCTTTTGTTCACAGCCACACCACTCTCGTTTGAACGGCCATGTTCCTGTTCTGGCGTAATTATTCCGGTGAGTCCACACCAAAGGGAAGCACTGGACTCGAGTTTCGCTCTTATTAGAACTGATCGGCAGTGCATATCCAATGGCCGTGCCGGGATTTGGACCCCGGACATCTGACATGCGAGGTGAGCGTGTAACACTGCTCTCATAAAGGATGAAAGTTTATAGGGAACACCTCTAGTTACCATGGTAGATGACGATTGATAAAGTCAAAAACAGCTTCAAAACGAAAAAACGACTATCGTTAGACGTTTGCAAGCGCATAACCTGCCACATGGTAAAAATATGATCGATGCATCCTCTGTTGCGAGCAAAACCCACTTTGATTCTCATGATTCTGCCTCTCCCAGTAAGAGATCAGCCTGCAAAAAATGGTGCACCAAGACTTCTTGGAGGCTACAGCCACCAGGATGATGCCACGATCTTTTTACTGTTGTTTTCGTGCCTTTTTCAAGGATTGTAATCGCTGTGGAGGAATTCCGCTCCGCCAGTTCGGTTTTAGTTTCAGATAGTTCACCGGCTGATCAGACTGCCCATCAAGGCTTCATCACCTTCGAAAAGTTCGGAGTGCAAACCATCTGTGCAGGGTGCCTTACAGCGTTAAAAAATGATGACTCGCCCTGGATTTCCGATACTCACTAGAGGTTAGTGTCAATTTTCCACTCAGGTTAGCTGAATTCTTCCAGAAGTTGTGTTGAAGCAAGTCAGCTAAATAATCCCTTGAGGTGTTCAATGCATCGCTCAAGACGACGATTCTGTGAGTGAATTACTGTAGAAAAATAATATTAATAACCGCCATTCAGCTGTAACACCTTTTGGTGCCTAGCTGCCATGCCACACAAAGGAAGCACGAGGGCTGAGATAATGCCAGTCTGTCCAGGCCTACATAGAGAGAAGTCGAAAGGTAGAGGCCGGGCTCTATCTTGCACATGGCTTTGCTAAAACACGTCTTATTTTTGACAAATTGATCGAATCAGTCGAAGGCGAAGCCCTGCCCTGCAGCAGAAGCCTTCCCCATCTTCCGAGCTTCAGAAAATCACCAGAATTTCGGTCATCGGGCGTTTGAGGGATCTGCGTGCGCAGTGGTTGTCGTCAATCGCAGTTAGGACTTTCCTAGCATCAGTAAAATCAGCTAATCTCGACGAAATTCAGTGTTCATTTGGTCGGATGGCTTCGACAGACAATCCTAAACGTCGAGAATAAAGCTTTCTTCATTCTCCTCAACTCATCGTCTTACTACTCTTCGATGAGTGAGATCCTCTAGCGACGAACGAAAAATTCCCCAACATAACAAATTTTAGACCCATCAAAAACTATACTCCATAGTCTGGGGATCTGTGGGTTAGAACATTGGAAGACCAATGGCTGTGGATGGAGCGTGAACAAACACAGTTAGCTGGTGAAAAAGATGCCCCGATGATGCATTACGAGATTGGAATGCAGCTTAGGGCCAGTTAGGAATATATCAAGTCAACCGAAGTCAAAAACAAACAAAGTTGCTTTGATGCGTAAAACGGAAAAGTTTCATGTGTCTGATATGACTGTAGTTGACTGACCATAAACCAACTAGTCCTTACCAAACGGTCCATTTCACAAACTACCGGAACCCGTGGACACCCAGTACGTGTGGATCGAGTGCAATGAATCCACACACCATTGAGAACAGGAACTACCTTACTTGCGGAATTCCCAATACCAGAAGACTGATAGATGTCTTTAAAAGTAGTCTTAAGGGACAGGTGAACGTTAGTTGTGTCCACACGCAGCATAAAAACTAGAGCCAGCAACGACAATGACGTAAAGCAAAGGAATACAAGTGCGGTCAGAAAAAAAAACGAACAAGTCTTACTGGACCACATACTTGGCAGTACTCGCAACCGAAGTCACCACAGAGGGCGAGAGAGTGCTTGTGGGTTGTGTACGTTCAACGATAACCGGAGATTCCAAACTCTTTGGAGATGAGCGCACGATCCTTGTGGACTTCGTTGTGACTCCCCGTACAGAGTTTGCCGGGTGAGCAACGTCCTTATGATAGTTGGAAATATGTGCAGCCAACAACTTTGAATGTCTGAGTTGTCGCGGGCAAAAAGGACAGGGATAAATCACCGGGGGTCTCGATTTCGCGGGTGCCGTAATCGGCGGTTGGGACTGTTTCGCTACAGTTGACGTAACCTTCTTCTCCGTTTCCGTTTTGGGTCTAGGTGAAGCGGCTAGTTTCTTGACGGAAGGAACGGTAGCAGGTGTGATTGTCACAGTGGGAGGCTTTATAGGAGAGGTGACAGGGATAATATCTGTCTTGTCCGGTGCAAGATCGGTCGCCTTCGAAAAAAAAAAGAAATACCATGGGAGTCGTTGATCAAAAGGAACACACTATTATTGCACAGTCCTACTCGCAAAACTGGACATCCTTAAAACCAATGTGATAGAATAGCGCTGCGCGGAGGAGAATTGAATACTGTGACAAGTAGTCCAATCCATGCAGACATAATGAACGGCACACAGTCAAGCACCAAATTAAATCATATACTTCGATAAAATTTTGGCTGATTTATTACAAGACTTAGCAGGCGTTTACAGAAGGCAAATGAGTTGAGAGCGGGGTGTTTCAACATTTTTCGGCGACCAAAAAGCTTATAAGTGTACGATAGGAAAAACCATGGACAGGCATTATCCAGTCCTTCTCTCTCCGATTCCTAAACTTTCGCTTGTTCAGCTTTAGACCGCCAACATGTTGTACACTTGATGTAGCTGTCACATTTTCGTTCGTAGACGGTGTGAGAAAGAAGTAGCTGATAGCATTTACGCGTGAATGGGGTGATTGTGGAGCTGAAAGCATTGAAAGCAATATCTTGGATACATGTGCGTCACTGGGTGCGCGACCGTTACACGTTTGTTGATGTCTCTAATCATCGATGTGGTCCTATCCAGGGAGACGGCAGTGACCAACGCAACTGAGTTTTCTGGTACTGTTTTCACACTTCGCTGTGAAGTTCTTTCTAGACCCCCCGTGACCCCTGGCTACTGTTCACCAGTAATGGTGCTGCAGACAGTAATCACTAGATTGTGTTCAAACTGATGATGAAGATGGTGGATATGCAGCTCGTCTATCTGGTCCGCAGATGAAACCAAAAAAAAAACAATTATCTTGCATGGTCAGCTGAACATGTGATGTAGGTTGATGGGGGTACGGATCAACGAAGGATGGACCAAGTGGTTAGAGCGCGAATTTACCGACCGGAAGGTCCGTGGTTCGAACCCAACCTCTGCCTCTCGACTTCCTCTGTCTATGCTTGGGCGACCTGGCAGTATCCCAGCTCTCGTGCCTCTTTCGTGTGGCACGGCAGCTAAGCTGGGTGCTACAGCTGAGCGATTATTTTTTATTATTATCAACGAAGGAAACGGGCCAAAATCAAGTGCTATCTGCTCGCATTGTTCATCTTCCTAATAGTCAGATGAACCAGGTCAATATAAGCTACGAACCGCAACCGAAAAAGAGAAACAGCCTAAGCAATCACAGGCAATGAGTTAAGCCTAATAAAGTGGACTCTGGATAACCGGGTGTTAATCGCATGCTCAGTGGTCTAGAACTCCGCGAGCTCACAACCTAAAAGACCAGACGCCGTAAAACGGTTATTCGGTACACGTTTTTGTCACAGCATCAAAGTATTGTCCAACGTGGGGAAAACGAGCGTAAGAAGCAGTAATAGTTCGTAGTATTAGTCGTTCAGCGAGAGGTGGGATACTGGCAAGCTGGCCAAGCCTAGATAAAAGCTGTGGCTGGGTTCGAACCACAGACCTTTTGGTCAATAATTTCGCGCCTTAACCACTGAGTCATTTCGGCAAGAACCGAACTGAAATGTCCCGTGATGCTACAGCTTCTAAATAAATTTCCGAAGATGTAGTGGTACAGTTGAGAGTAACAGAGTACGGGACCAGAAACGTACTTTTGAAGTTCATACTACCCTGCATGACGGTTCACAACAGGCTTTCGATGAAGTGGTTAGTTAGAGGTATCGGTTCAAATAACCATACAAACAGGTGGCCTAACTTCATAGCATCCGGATAGTTAACAACTTGAGTGCATTTGCGGCACATAGTGCACAATCACCTCACTCCGTTCAGCGGAACAGGCAGAGGCCCCAAGAGAAGGTTGACCATGTCCAGTCCGATACAACCATTCTACTTATGTTAACGAGCATACCACTACACAGTACTGTGTCTGTGGGAGTCAAACAGTTGTTACTGATGTCACTAAATCACCGTAAATATCGATCGACCGGATGAGAAGTGAACACATACCGCAATGTACCTGGTTGCCACGTACTCGGGGGCTAGGATTTGAAATCCGGAAAGTACTACTCAAGGGTGGTCCAGATTAATTTACCGTTCCTGCTTCCGATAAGAGTATCGGCTTGCTCAGTGAATATACCGAGCGTCCTAAGCTAAAAGTGCATGAATAGTCCCAATGGTGACTGACTTCGAAACTTGACAGCGTCAGTTATCCTACGTCGGTTAATGACAGACCGAAGGACACATGTGGGTCAAATCTTGTGTCAAATCAGCATTCAGTACGGCGATAATCCAGTGAGCAAATAAGCGACTAACTCGTCAACGATGACTTATCTGGTTGTTGAAACCTAAAACTGGGAATGGGCCGGAGTTCTATAGTGGGGGTCTTATTTTCATATGCAGCGTACTGTTACATTAGTTCGCAGGGAGAGACTCTCATTACTCTCATTCTTACTGTCCCGATTTTCAGAATTATTCATATACAACAGAATCTATCATTTTTTGTGATAAGTCTCCCCTGCTTCGGAATCAACGTATGTGCGCTTCTGGAAACAAGATACCGATCAAAAACAGTAAGAACATGCAAATTATTCGGCTGTGTACAACTCCCAGTTCGACGTCGAGCGCAATTTCTCGTGTGTAATGGAACAAAGCCGCCAACACACACACACACACACACACACACACACACACAAACAGTCCGTTGGCTTTATTGACCAAATTTAACCAATTGGAGCACCGTAGATCAAGGCATAAAGCGCTGTCACATGATTGCCCCGCCTTCTAGTGTCGACTGTTTACAGCTGCCTGGCCTACTCTCGATTAAGTCTTGTCCGCGCCCGTTTGCTGTTGACTTATTGATGGACACATAAAAAGGCTGACCCGAAAACCGTACGTGGTGAGGACAGTGCTCCCAGTCAGACACAAACAAAAAAACGCCCTGGAAGATACAGTCTTGTCTACACAGGTTGAATGTTGGTGTGGCACACGGACAAGGCAAGGCACGGTTTTCCTGATTTGGCAACGTGTCGTAAGTCTGGTTACAAGGGTCACGTGACCGTATTCACACAGCGGTAGACTGACTCCAGCCGAGGTGTCATGTGACCACTTGAACTGGCTTTTACGTAAGTGGTAAGGACAAAAAGACCACTAACAGAGCGAAGTTGTCAGAGTATTTGTCACAAAGACCAAAGGTATGACAAGTGAAATGCCCTCCAGAGAGCACCAGTCGGCCAAGTTACCGAGCCGGTGACTGGTGTCCGAATGGAATCGCAGTAGGCAAAATAATCGAGGTTTTTCAGGAAAAAACCAAGCAATCTGAAAATCAGTGTACAAAATACACAAAATGTTTGGAGTGTTAAGTTCGCTTAAATTGCCACTTCAAATTCGTAACAACGGAAAGACCAAAAATTTGGTACGATCCATCACTACAGTACCTATTCACAAGTTCTCAACCGCACCAACGCGTACGAACCGTAAAACATCCACTGTTCTTGTGGGGGGAAATACACCACTTGATCGAATAGTCCCAGACGGATCTCAAAAAAAAACAATATCAATTCCCCATTATCATTCTCGCAAACATCTTTCGCAGGTGTGTCAAAAACTGTCCCCATTGCGCCTCCATTGATTATTGATAGAATTTCCCTCTGGATTAAAAAAGTCAGTCTAGAAACTTGATAGAACGGCAACAACCCTTGTTGGCAATTAGTCCAAATGCTCGTAGCCCAGCTTTGTTTATTGATTGATCATCCGCTCGTCAAGCAACTTGGTTTTAATAGTCAATCAACACCGAGTTTTAATACTACTGAAGACACCACGGATCTGTTGGTCTACTTTGTTTTAGTGTAAACGACTATTTCACGATGCAATGAGCTAACATGACAGCTTAATCTGGAACAGCAAATTCAGTCAAAAAACGATAGAAAATCTGCTTACAACTGCAAACAAGTTGTGACGCATTATGGGCAAATGCTCTCCGTTTGACATACTATACGACTTAATTAATGAGGACAAAATTCAACAACAGCCCACAACCCGTTTCGTCCTATTTTGAGCACGTCTAGTTAGACAATTTCCTATCGTGGGAATAAACTCCAACTACTAGGACGTCATGAGCTAGTCAAGGTAGTGCTAACACGAAATCCGGGAGACTCATCGTATTCGTCAACCGAATGTGTAGTTTAAATCGACCTGATGTACGAATACCTTTCTTCATATGCTATCCTGGCTATAAGATTGAAGAATATCATAAGCAACAGACTCATTTGAATATCGCCTTATCACTGACTCAGTTGGTCTCCACGGGTACCCTTTCTGTTCTTTTACACGCTGCGTCAAAAGAGGCTCTCAATGCCGGAACCACTTAACTTCAAATTATTACCATCACTACAAATAAATATAAATAAATTGCTCAGCTGTGCCTAGTTGCCACGCCACCCGAAGGAAGCACGAGGGCTGGGATACTGCCAGGTGGCCCAAGCCTAGACAGAGGAATTCGAGGGGCAGATGGTCGGGTTTGAACCACGGATCTTCCGGTCAGTAAATTCGCGCTCTAACCACTTGAGCTATCTTGCCATCCCTATTCTATTATTCGGTTGGTATTTGAAGCAACGCTTTGCCTTTCCTTACTAAATTGGCCAGTGAGGATGAGATTCACTGAAAGAACCTACTATCTTCAACTCCCGGTAAGTTAGTATGGTAAATAAGTGACTATTAACTGGTCTATCCTGATAGAAATACTGATTAATGTCGTCCTTGAATGCATCAGATAATGATGTAATCCTACATCTGTGCACTAGGAAGGGACCACAAGGACTGAGGTGCAGCTATAACACCCAATCAGGATCCGGTGAAAGAAACCAAGGCTGGGTCCGGACAAAGGACTTTCCAGTCAGTAGCCTCGCACCTTAACCAGCCAACTGGTTCGGTGTTGTTCGGATTATTGGAAGTCGGTTTAAAACTTTGGATCGGCTGTTCACTTTGGTCATCATTTAACATGTCACTAGAAACTTTATTTTTGTGTTACAGGACAGGAACATTCCGATCAGTATCATTCATTCAGAAAAGATTATCGGGGGCGAGCTGGCTGTGGTTAAAACGCGAGTTTACTGACCGGAAGGTCCGTGGTTAGAAACCGACTTCTGTATCTCGACTTTCCCTATCTAGCATTGGGCAACCTGGAAGTATCCCAGTCCTCGTGTTTCCTTTTGGTGGCATAGCAGTTGGGCACCGGAAGAGTGCTACAGCTGAACGATTACGATCAACCATGTTACGAGAGTACATCATTTCTGGCTGGTACATCTTTGATCACCGGAAATTGGGAGACTTGGGAGATGTATCCAAGCACTGGAGGCAAAGGCATGTTCAATTAATTCTGGAATTGAGTAGCTACGCATTGAAGACGATAGCCTTGATGCACGAAAGTAGACACGTCTTACACTACTTGACGTGGTGAACTCAGGCAAGAGCTTACCGTATACTGGTACACGCCCACAGGAGGTCGCATACAGAGCCTTCATAAGGGATATAAATTTGGAAGGGACACGTGTGATTTCTAGAAACCCCCAAAGTTTCTGACAACCGACAAAGTCAAAGGCAGTTTTCTGAGGAAGAAAAAACAAGCAAGGTGGGAAATTCGAATGGTGCCGTTCAATAACCTGTCTCAGCTGTAGCCGTTCAACTTCAGCTGAGTTGGTTTTTTACCACCCAACTGTGCTCCAAGCTTTCTTAGAAGCGTTCTTATCACCCACTGACTGAATCAGTCCTTCTCAGATTCAGACCGGAACAATGGCTATGGTACTGGTAGATAGGTTGATCACACTGTATCATTCGACTGGTAGTGGGGTCTGAAGGAGGTCTGGTGAGCTGCAAAAGCGAATGATACTTCCTGGTTGCCCAAGCCGAGGAAGAAGGGTTTGGTTGGGATAAAAAGCGTTCAGCTGTAGCCCCCTTCCGGTGCCTAGCTGCCATGCCATCCGAAGGAAGCACGAGGGCTGGGATACTGCCAAGTTGCCCAAGCCTAGACAGGGGAAGTCGAGTGGCGGAGGTCGGATTCGAACCACGGACCTTCCGGTCAGTAAATTCGCGCTCTAACCACTTGGGCCATCTCGCCCAACTTAAGTCTTTGACTCAAAAGTCTGATCTGCGAACCAATGAAATGATCTAGGGTTTGATTCCGGTACCCTGCCCATAGCCTGACTCAAAAGTCTGGACCATGAAAGTGGTTTTTATGGTTTTATCGAGGAATCTTTACCCGATAACTAACGGTCTAACGAATTTGGCTCAAAGAGGTGGGCCTGGCCCGATGGCGCATGGAAAAAGGCAGTTACCTGGCTCCTTATACGGTTGTACAGCAAAGGGCTCCTAAAAAGCACCGGACACTTTGGTTATACAAGTACTTCAAGGGTACTGAATCATGCGCCGGTTGTCACGATCGACCGTTGGGTGATGGAAGTGCGCGGTTTTTAAGGTCGGCCTTTTCCATCCCTTCCTTCTTCGGGGGAACGCAGCATCGCTGCTTCCATAAATGTGGACATGCTGATCGCCTGATAGAAACGCCTTACTGCCTTTAAACTACTATCGTAGAGGACGGTACGACGTCACCTCAAGACCGCCTTGTAATACTTTTCACAGTGCTGGACCAGCTGTTCTTCGTCGGACGGCTCTCCATTTGCCTTCCTGGTATGGTTGGACCTTGGGCGACTAAGCTTCAGCCAGTGTAGTCCACAAAATCACTGCATCACTGAAGCCCATCAAATATGACAAGGTGACAGGTTCGGTTCGATCAGTATGGTTAAAATCACACATTAAGTGAGCGGACATTTCAAGGTGGGATCGGCTAGTTGCAGCAATCGTCTTTCAGATATTAATTGATAAATGTCACTGAATGTAGGTCAGAGAAGACAAAAAGGACAAATGACAGCAGCTTTACGACTAGTCCGTACTTTTTTTCGCGTTATTCTGCACTGGTTTAAACCGAGGCTCAAGGACGTGGTTCCCTGACACCTCCAAGGCATCTGTCGACGAATGCAATGTGTGTCTATACCGGGCTCACACTAATGTCGATAGATGCATCGGTGAACGAGTATTAGTTGTTTATCCGGTTCAAAAGTAAACACAGACTGTTATCTCAAATGGTAGTCTGTAAGGAACACTGAGGTTGTTGCCCATTAGGTTGTTTTGATTTTTTTAAGTTGATGTGAATCTTGTACGTAGGTTGTTTCGCGCTAATGCACTGACCAAGTCCTTAGAAAAAGTGACCAGAACGCACCGATTTTACGGTATCCTCGAGTATGCCAACCGAACACATCCACAAGCCAGTCCAGCACCCACTTAACTCTTCCACTCAACGGTACTAATCCGAGATAATTCAAAGCAGCTGTAACGTTAAGTAGACTTGTAAGGCGTATCGCACGAAAAATAACTATGACATCTAGCTTCTGTAATGCTCATGTACAACGGCAAGAATTTAGTGCAGTGATGCAGGCGAACTGCGGTATGGTTCAGTAGTTGACGATATTTGAACACCATTGAGCAAGAACTGAATCATACGCTATCACGTTTCAATGAAACTCTCAGTTGACAGACATTTTGCGTTAGAGAATGATGGCGCGTTGCTTCCAACCAAACACTTCTTTGGAGGAAGACTTCCCACATCCTAGAAGTAGTCGCTCTTGAGCGATGCAATTGCATTAGGAGAGTTAAAAAAAACTCACCGGACTACTGACTGGCTTAACGGACGGCTTTGGTGAAGACTTAGGTGAGACCACAGTCCGTTCTGCAAGACGGGCAACTTTAGCCGGTTTAATATCGAGTTCGGGTGAAGAAAGCATGGACGCCTCATCCTTGGCTGTAGCGCACCTTGATTCTGAAGTTTCGGAAGCTGCGCCGTTGGTCCGCGAAGAACAATCCTCTATTTTGGCGACAACTTGTTGGTTTGGTTCGATGGCTTGTCTTTTCAGCTCCCGCCTCTTGCGGCAAGCCTCATGGAACTGAAGAACGGTCTTGTCGTAAACCATATCATCTTGCTCAACACTGTCAAAGCAAGGGGAACTGATGGGGGTTGTCTTGCGTTCCATGGAAGTAGTCCCTGGGGATGGAGACGACTGAGTAGGACGACTGGTTTGAATAACACCATCAACCTTCGGGCCAGATTCTCTATTCTTGACTTCGGAACCAGTGGTAACTGACCGGGTAGACTTGCCTTCAGACACGCTGATCCGTGATTCCCTAGAGTTGATTTTTAAGGGACCATCAGAAGGGCGCTTTCCTGCACCCGAGCTCACATGTTCGCGGCAAAATTTCAAGACATAATCAATTTCGAACTGGGTTGCCTTCCGCATCCGATGGATGGGTGTCCATTCAATCACATTATCCCAGACGTATCGCAACCGATATTGCGAGTTATCTCCCTGACGATGCCGATGAGCAATCACCTCGGCCAGATATTCATATTCGTTTTTCCAGGATGCCATAACGTAACTTCCAAGCTCGAAATGAGTTGGTGGAGAAGAGGTCGTCCTGGGTGCTTTGTCTGAGGGCAACGACCGGTCATCCTGATTATTGGGAACCTTTGTGTTTGTCGAACTGACCGACGTGGAAATACGTTTAAGTGCACGCAAGCAGTTGGAGGTAATGGGATACCAGGTATCGTAACGGGAACTCCAATTGCAAAAGTGGATGTGCACCTGAATGAAAGAGAGAAATACGTAAATGAACGGAAATGTCTACAATACGAGATCGGGAAACAATAAGCCTATAGGATGTAACGAAACAAAACACATGACGTCAGCTGGATGAATCAATACTACGAAATCGAAAATTATAAACCCAGCTCGCAGTGTCCTGAAATGGATGGCGTGCTGCTGTGTAAGCTTGACAAACCTGGCAGTAACACAGCCAGCGTGCTTCTTTCGAGTTGCATGGCAGCTAGGCACCGAAAGGGTGTTAGAGCTGAATGATTATTAGTTATTCAATTGTTTATCCAATGACCATTAACACTGATTTTTTTCAAAAGTATAATCAACTCTGATTTTCGTGTTCGGAACTTCTGTGAGCCCTACAGTAATGCTGAACCTAAGGTTCGTTACGTGGTTAGGGTTGCTAAGATGCCCTCACAAAACCAGGACCAGCTAGGTTCATGCAATGTTGCTGATACATTTATCGACTCGTATTCACCAAACTGTACAAAAAAAACAATACAAGCCTGTAGTCAATGAACCGGTGTATCAGATGGTTCACCATAATCTTCAGGCGAATAGTTCTTTACTGAGGACGCAGTATTGTGCAGTATGGGACGTTTATTGGAAAAGTGATACCGTTTCAGAAGGGCGCCCGATTATGAGTACAAGACTGACGACGGAACTTCCAAAGAAAATAAGGTCAACTGGCCACAAGTAGATCGTATCTGTGGCCTGAGGCACAGAATCTACGGATGATCATGATCTATTGGAATGAGAACAAAAACAACTACTTTGCTTGGTGTGGCACACAGCTGGTATATGTAATGCGATGCAGCGCGATTCAGCATACAGCCAAATGAAAGTCTCTCGCTTGCAAAAATCCATGACACCACGGAGTTTTAACAGTTCTACAAATTGCGAAGGACTATTTTCAGCAACCTTTCTAATAATTTTGCACAATACAGAGCTTTCGTCTTTTGTAAAACATTCAAGTGGAGTCAAATACGCGTGCTTCGTCCAGCGAAAAGGCATTCGAAAAACCGCGTAGTCGAGATCAGAGGTTCTTCCAACTGACATGCTGATACATGAAACCTGTAGGTGGTACGTTCTCTCAGTTCTGTGCCGGAGACACGATGGCTAAGTGGTTAGAGCACGAAGCTACTGACCGAAAGGCCCGTGGTTCGTACCCGACTTCGTCTATCTAGGCTTGGGCAACCTGGCAGTATCCAAACCCTCGCACTTCCTCCAGGTTGCAGGCAGCTAGACACCGAAAAGGTGTTGCAGCTGAATGATTATCATTATCATTATTCTGCACCGCACACAAACCTTCGTAGGCAGTCCTTAGCGCCTTCGATGTGCCGCTCCGTTAAGTGAAGGATAATCGTTTAAATCATTCGCCTGTAGCACGATTTCGGCGCTTAACTGCCATGCCACCAAAAAGAAGCAGGAGGACTGGGATACTGCCAGGTTGCCCAAGGCTAGACAGAGATGGTGGAGATGCAGAAGTCGGGTTCGAACCACGGACCTTCCGGTCCCTTAATTCGCGCCCTAACCACTTGTGCCATCTCGCCCCCACGGATAGTCGAGCCCGCAAATGGTAAAGATCATCGACAAGCTCGTCTGTCGGGAGGTGCTGCACCTGACAACTTCCATGAGGAAAAAAAGAAGCCTGAAGAATGAACGAAGCATGCGACAGACGAACTGATCACACTCCATTAGCGGCGCTGGATTTGTCATATGCACCAGTATCATTATGCGCCATTATGCACAACACCAGTGTTCAAACACACGCTTCACTGTCGTATAACCATAATTCACTTCAAAGCCTTATTGTGGGAAAAAGAACAAGGGTGGATGAGAAAGAGAGTGCCTGCTGTCTTTCCAACACTCACTCTGGATAGAAACTGACAAGATGGACGCCAACGACATCGATCAGCGGTCACACCTTGCAGCCTTTACGTGCAAGCACACGGGGGATCACGCAAACCCCATCCCAGATGGGCCGCACAGAGAGCACCGAGACTTTCCGTAGTTTACTCCATTTCTGTCGGGCAGATAAAAACTTCAGCACCTCTCTACTTGCCCGTTTTAATTAGAGGAAAACAACACTGCAGCAGACGATGGTGGCATGTGAAATACATGACCAAACAGCTGTAGATTTTGGCTCTGCACATGTTCTTCGATTGAAATCCCCAAACATTCGTTTCCAAATCCTTTTTTTCTCTTTGCGAAATGAATACCACTAAACTACAATGGTTTCATTTCCCCTATTCGCAGAGGCTAAGCCTCACACCCATACAACACAAATCCGTACTGTAACCGAATACACACGTGCCTTGAGATCAGAGATTATATCACTCTGACGCCATAGGTCTCTGAAATTAGCAAACGCGACCCGGAGGTTCCTGCGTGGACCTTATCTGTCACACTACAATCGGGACTAATACAACTCGTAAGATATGTAAAACGCACAACTTCGAGTGTCATTTCTTGGATAGTAAGTGGCATATTAAAAGATATGGCCTTTAACTTTATGGGTGAACAGGGACTACCACAAAACGGGACGGCTTTGATCAGTTCATCCAAAAACGCCTGTGCCTCCTCACCCTCCTCCAAAGCGAGACCAATGTGGTCCATATATTTCAGATCGACAAGGTTTTCGTCAGCAGCTATTTGAACACCAGGTTTCGCAGCGATCGTCTCATTAAGCAGGATTAGACAGTGGGTACTTCCTGTACAGGTGTTGGAGGGCTCCTGTGTGATCTAACACAACTGGAATTCTGGCAATACAAACATTATATTCACTGACTTTCGGACCATAGCCTGTTGAGCACGTGAGTGCAATTCCAAGAATGCTAAAATTGTCCTTTATAGGTATATCGCTGTTCGCGTACCTGACGGAGATTTGGTCAACGCAAACCCTACCAGGCCGGAATACCGTTTGCTGCTCTCGAGTCAATGCTCCACGGGCTGCCATAAGACGACGAAGGACAGAAGACGCCAACAGTCCCGCTATGACTAGAGTCAAGCTAATTGGCGAACTAGAGCTAGTTCCACCAACACCAACTAGCCGTGGAGAATTCGGATGTGAACTGACGATAAGGCGAGTTCCAGTCTGCAGTGTAACCCACCCAAACTCGTACCAACATTGTAGCACTGATTATACTGACCTTTCTGGAAATAACCACAGGCTGTTTTGGGTTGATTGACGCAACAGGAAATAGCGTCCGTAAAACCGGCAAAGATTACGCACTATCAGATTTCCGGCAAGCAACGACTTCAGTATTGAGCTGAGCGTTCCGAGCTGTTTGGTCTACCTTCCACCCAACCTGTCGATCCACGGTAGAAACCTAGTGTAGGAATGAATTATCAGCCGCAGTAGCATAGCACTCAGACATCACGAAGCTGTTAGTTCCGATGACCTTTCATATGCAACAGAACCACCATCGAAAGCAGGTCATGTTTGTATATAAGTTTAGATACTGCCAGGGGGTGTAGTTGCTATACGATAAAAATATCGACCTTTAAGACGTCGTTAACAAACTCGCCGGACAGAGATGGTTAAGTGGTTAGAGCGTGAATTTACTGACCGGAAGGTCCGTGGTTCGAACCCAACCCCTGCATCTCGACTTCCCCTGTCTAGGCTTGGGCAACCTGGTAGTGCCATGGCGGCTTGGCGCCGAAAGGATAATACAGCTGAACGATTATCTAACAAATCCACTGGAAAGAACTTTTCTACCTTGGACTTGCAGAAAAAGCAGAGATCGAACGAAAGCAGCAGATCGAACGCAAGCACCATTAGAGAGATTGAACACCAGCACGCCATTTTTCATCAAGAAATTTGCAGCATAAAGCCTTGCTTCAGAGTGCGTGGTCCCTGAGAAAGGCCCCCGAAAATCAGCGGAAGCAATGGAAGCTGCATTCCAGTTGTAGTCCCATCAAACCTGAGTGCGTGATGACACTAGTCGCAAACAGCAATTCGCCGGGTAAACAGATGTTCAACTCCCAGCAAACTGCTGTCGATACATTCTGAAGTGTGCGCCAGTGTTAATCGATCCGCTCAAGTGTGACAGAAATAGCAGACCAAAAGCGTCAGATGCTAGCGGCAGTTGGGATTCCAGGAAGCAGCTTGTAGACGGTAATGATAAAAGGCAGTCAGTTTTTACGTGCTTTCCTAGCTGAATGAAACAAGGTGATTCGATTAGTGCTAACAAGCAAAGACATACTACATGAACCTGCTGCTCACTGTACAGTTTATGGTTGGCTGAGGTATTATCAGGGCGTCCAAACCTAAACGGCGGGACAATCAAAGCTCTCTGGTTCAAACACAAACTGTAAGGCAGCGGTGCTTAGCGTGAGATTACTGGAGCAGTCTTACTTTTGACGAACACGCCGTCATACAAACTGGGACGGCTCACTGGGCAACACGGTACAGGACTGCGAGCGCCACATGAACAAACCCCAGTTCAGTGGGTCAGAGACACAGAAACTGTCACATAACGGCAGGGCCCAGTCTGCGCGACGGAATGAGGTCAGTACAATAACCTAAACAACGCGGAACATGCTGACAAATTTGGCCAATTGAAGTACTCAAGAAAGATTGCAATGGATCTTGAGGGTCATGCGTACTAGACTACAGCACGAGTAGTGTTTCTCCGAGGTTAAGGGATATGGCCTATCCAAGCTGAGAATCTGAAGTCTTCTCACTCAGACCACCACAGCAACAAGGACTGTCCCCTCTATCATCTGTACCTGGTTGCCTTTAAGACCGATGTCCCCGAACCCCCTCTGGTGGTGTAGGCACCGTCGATCTTGTAGCGGGATGGTTCGAAGACCGATGATGAGCTTTTCAATGGACACCTCTATCGTAAGGGCCAGACCAGTTTTTCTCCTGAGAAACACATGTTTAGAATGCCCCAGTTTTGACCTGGAATCTGCTTTTCACCATCTTGTTCCCCAAAAGCTACGGCGACGCCCAGTGATTCTGGACGTTCCTTCCGAATTTTCAAACTACGAAGGAACCATTAAAAGAGAAATAACCGTTTAACCGCAACAACTTTTCGGTGCACAACTTCCGTGCCACCCGAATGAAAAAGGAAAGCTGAGATCGGCTTCAGTTACAGTTTATCACTTATAAACCATGTACTAGGAGTACACTGGCTCCAACAGCTATGGTTTCGATCATCGGAGAGTGGGTGAGCGTAGGACAAGCGGTGGGAGCGAAGGTACAAGCAGTTAGTTCAGGAAGATGGAAAGCTACGCACTGACATTATCCATTTGTCATTTGAGTCAGGGGTCCCAGCCGGAGGCGACAGGTGTCGGCCCGACTAAACTGACTGGCTGCAGTTTTCATCTTCGTTGCCCCTCGGTCGCTTCCAGTCCGCGCAAGACCGAACAAAAAGAGCTCTGTGAGGCAGACGGTTCCCTGGCATTCGGAGTACATGTCTTAGTCACCATAACCTATGAAGAGTGACAAACTTATCCATCGTCACAGTTACTGCCGCACCACAGCATTACTAATCCAATGTTCCCACCAGACCCGACCAATGCTTCCGGCACACCAATGGTCAAGCTGCCAGCTTTCGCATGTCCCCTGCTTGTAGGGAGAGGGTTTCTGATCCATAAAGCAGTGTTATCGCATTGCCACCTTGGCAGACAAAATGGCCTCACGTCAACAACATAAATGTAGGGGGTGGAAAATTCGCCCTGGCCTTGTCAACTCGAAAAGTAATCGTCTCCAAGCCGTCCGTCAGAACCAATACAATCGCCTAAACAAGCGAATTTATTTACCATGTCGACTGGCTCGTATGCAAGTATCAGGTGTGGATTTGATCCCACCGTTTTTCAGTAGCACTTTAAACTTTGCGGGTGCGAAGCGCATGCCAAGTCGTGCGGCAGAGTTACCTAGGTTATTTAAATGGTTCGCATCAATGAAGCATCCAAACCAAGGAGGGCAATATCGTCTCCATACTCAATGATTGCGAGCAAACATCCCGGGAGCATTTCAACCTCCAAAGTTTCAGAGATGGGCAGAGGAATTTAAAACAGCACATCAATAGCACAAATGGACGCGGTGAACTCAGGCAAAGACTTGCAGTATACTCGTACGCGCCCACCACAATTCCCATACACAGCTCTCACATGGGATATAAATCTGGAAGGGACACATGATAGCTGCATACCGCCGAAGTTCCTGACAACCTAGAGTCAAGGGCAGCTTTCGGAGAAAGACAAAATAAACAGGGTGGAAAATTCGAAGGAATGGCGCTGTACAATGACCTGTCTTAGGCTGAAGATATGGCCGATGCATCCTTGGCCAGGATGGGACCCAGCTTGATTCTCACGAGTTCGTTTCCTCCAACTGAAGTGATCGCCCCCATTATCCGTACGCTGAGTATCGACTCGAAATCTACCCTCCGATATTAGTCGTCCAAAGGGCGTGCATATCGCCCGGCAGCATGACTAAATCTGCTCGTGCTGGCCGAAGCAGTCCCAAGAAATCTCCATAAAACCCGTCTTTCTCATATTCAGAACGCAGTAACTGCTACGGAACTGACAGATTTGTTCATCACACTGGACGAGATGGCTCAAGTGGTTAGAGCGCAAATTTACTGACCGGAAGGTCCGTGGTTCGAACCTGACCTCTACCTCTCGACTTCCCCTGTCTCGGCTTGGGCAACCTGACAGTATCCCAGCCTTCGTGCTTCCTTCGGGTGGTATGGCAGCTAGGCACCGAAAGGGCGCCACGGCTGAACGATTTATTATTTTCACCACACTGCATCATTCGATGGGTAGGTGGGGGTAAGGGAGGTCTGGTGAGAGATGAGATGCAAAGGCGAGTGATACAACCTGGCTCATCATCATCATGAACAGCACGACATCAATGTTTAACACTGATGCTTCGCTGCCGTACATTGTACATAGGCTGGGATACTGCCAGGGAGCTCACACCTAGATGGGAGGACAATCAGGATCCTCAACCAAAGCCTTTGGCTCAAACGCCTGACCGCAAGGCAGCGGTGTTTGGCTGAAAATACAAGCAAATTACTATTTTAACCAAAGCCTTGGCTCAAACGCCTGACCGCAAGGCAGCGGTGTTTGGCTGAAAATACAAGCAAATTACTATTTTCACGGAACACGTTGCCATACATGTTCCAAACCCAAACTGTACGGCCAGGTGCCTGCGTTCGTAAGACCTCTAACGATTGACCAACTCGGTGTAAGACTGCGAGTGTCGTGCGGACACCCATTAGTATAGCTCACTGGGTCGCCGAGGGACACAAACCGTCGCACCATGGTAAGGTCCAGTATCCTTGTGACGGGCTGTACAAACCGAAGGACGGGGTTTGGTTGAGGTACCCCACCTTTAGCCTTTGACTCAAAACACAAAGCAGTGGGAGGACCCAGGGTTTGGTTTGGAGCTTGTCCCTGGCCTGGCCCAAAAGTCTGGACCATGAGACGGCAGCTTTCGTGATTCTGTTGAGGGGCTCACTTATTTGGCTGCATGGGATCGGTCTGGCCATATGACACGGGGAATAAGAGCTATCTGACTCCTGAGACGATTGCACATCACAGGCTCTTTGAGCAGCACCAAATACTCTGGTTCTAAAAGTATTCTGGCCGAATTCAGTAATGCGTCGACAGCCTCGGTCAAGCATTTTGCGATCTGTGCGCGTATCTTAGGGTCAATCTTTTCTAACCTATCCTTCCTCGGGGGAGGCAGCATCGCTGCTTCCATAAATACGGACAAGCCGATCGCCTGATGGAACATCTCACTACCTTTAACTCCCATCGCAGGACAGTACATTACCTCAAGAGCATCTCGTGATATGACTCTTCGTAGTGTGAGACTGTCTGTTCTTCGTCGGACGGCTCCCCACTGGCCTTCCTGGTATGGTTGAACCTTGGGGAAAGAAGTTTCGGCCAGTGAGGACGGTGAGATCAATGCGGCAGTAAAGCCCACCACGACAGGGCGACAACTTTAGGTGAAGAGCGGGTCTACATTCGCCTCAGCTATGTCCAGCGTGTAGGACACTAATCCTCTCCAACTCTGCTGCTGATTCGCCACTTGAAGCTGATTGGATGTTGGGACCGCAATTTTGCTGGCCCCTTGGGAGTCCGTCAACTAGCAGTTTCTGCACAACCCTGCTTTGCATGATTCAGATCCCTAAATACATAAACTATTTTAATCCACCCAAAATAATTTGCCTCACACCCGCTAATACTATACATGTGTGGTCTGTGGCATGAGTGATTGTTCAAACCCTACGGCTGTGATTCGCTTATGTCTTGGCATCAGACTACTCTGGATAAGACCCAGATCAGAAAACATAGCAGACGGTGTCTGGCAGAGGTTTGCATAATGCACAGTCTAATATAACCCTTTGTCCCCAAAAGCGTTAAGGAATGGATGAAACTGTTAAACAGACTAGCATATAGTCCCGGTTGACAGTGGTCTTAGTGTAATATCCTCACTAGAACTAAAACGCAGGCATGGAAACATGTGATGAAATTTTCGATGGTAGGGATAGACAGGCCTTAATGTGGTCAGGACAAAATATAGACTGAGAAGAGGAATCAGTCCCAGGCTTGGGAGTGTGCGGCAGTTATGAGGCCGATGAGGATACGGGTTATCCACACATACGCCTGTATAATCCACAAGCCATTTGTTCAACGGGCATGAATCTGTTCCAACGAAAGCATGCCGACTGATTACACTCGGAAGCCCTTCGAGAGGAGGCGATGTAAACAGACTGTAGTATGTCCAACGACCCTGACCTAAGATTTTGGTACAAACTGATATGTGAATGCTCTAGGCCTACCATCGAATCACGTATATCAATGAAGTCAGGAGACTTGCATCCACACCATGCTTTTACAAGCTACCCAAAGAATATCCTACTTTCCAAAGCTCAAAGAGTGGGCAAAACCGATTGAATTAGTCTTTGAGTAAAGATAACTGAACCAATAATGTCAAAAGGATTCAGTTCAGCTTTTGGTAAGTGCCTCACGACATAAAACCGAACTACTATACTGCAATAGCACAGGAACATCTGCACTCATTCCGCACCATTCAGCCATAGATTCGGCCTATACTTGAAACCTAACCCAATAGAGCGACAATAGACTTTATGATAAGTTGGCCGTACAAGGGCTACTAGCCATTTTCCAGCAAGAACTCATAGCCCATTTTTATTAGCTCAAAAGTCTCAGTCTTTCAAGGTGAACGAAATTGCGTAATGGAGAACGTGGAGGGAAGTTCGGAGCTCCGAATAATGATAGTCTGATTCGCTGGCATAAAACCCCATGACCACACGCATACTCAACACGGTAACGGTTGGAGCAGAACTTGGTATCCAAGGGCTAATCAAATGAAACAAAAGGATAGGAGAGCGCACACTACTGACGCCTCTCGTCTGTGCTCACTTACTTTACCGTCTTTTATTTCGCGCACTTTCGCGGGATACCACGTTCCATAGGCGTCCTTAGCTTCCAAAAGGCACTCCTTTTTTAAATTCGACGGAAAATTCCTCAGTGAATCTCGTCCGATTCCATTCGACATCACAGACCAGCGGGCGACGGATAGACCACGTCATAAATTCGAACAGGCGCCGCAGTTTGAGCTACCGCCTAAACGAGAGCACTCATTGATGTAATAAAAATCCCTCAAATAAATGTGTTGGATATTTGCGCAACCCGCCCCGCAGTTTGGCTACCGCCCAAACGAGAGCACGCATTGATGTAATAAAAATCCCTCAAATAAATGTGTTGGATATTTGCGCAACCCGCCACATAGACAAAAGGTTGTGGAAGATACTGAGTGGTAAAGGAAAAATGAAGACCTAACTAACTCCCGATGTTGGGGGTTCGTGGCTTCGGATCAGAAAGTGTCCCCTGTGATACCATTTCTAAGCCTTTTCGCAATGCATTATGAATTCAAGTTCCATTGGGTATATCCGATTCTCTCCTCCTCGGTGTGGTCTGCCGTCGCCATATGATTCCTCCAGAAGAGACCGGTTCCTCTTAAGAACCCTTGAGCAACTCCAATCCAACTACGGCTTCACTCATCTCCTTTTGGCAGGTGACTCAAACGATCCAAAGTTCTCCTGGATGGAGCTCCAGGACGTCGGATCAAGTGTACCTTTTGTAGCGACGATGATTGAAGTAGTTCGACAGAGCTCTTGGGCTCACCATGTCGTTGCACCCACTAGCTACTACGCTGGCCAACCGCCATCCCTCCTGGATTTGGTTATCAACGGAAGACTTCGTTGATAATTAACGCTCCACTGGGACATGGCGGCCACTGTGTGCTGACCTTTGACTTCATCTGCTATTAGGCCAGAAATCCTGAACCTCAAACGTGCTTTCGAGACTTCTGTTGGGCAGACTTCTCAGGAATGCGCAGTTTCCCTAACAAGTTTAACTGGGATCAGCTTCGAAGGATGACCTATATAGGATCATTGTCCAGAAAATTCACGAGGTTGATGCGGTGTCCGACCCCAAAAAACAGCATGCAGCCGGATGAGCCGCAGGCCACATAAAAGGATTCGGCATCTTCTGGTAAAGAGGGATCAACTTTTTCCAAAGCGCTGACTACAGGAGACACAGAAGATGAGTCCTCGTTTCGTAAAATGTGGAAGCGCTGTAAATTCGCCAAGGGAACATACGAAAACAAGTCACCATTCTGGACCCTGTCCGGAAAAACAGAATTGCGCTGTTCAGATACATGAGACATCACCACAGAAATAATTCATCCGCGTTCTCCTTTGGGGGACAGGAACGAAGAACCCAGGAGTGACAAAACAGTTGTATCTGAGGTTTACAGAGAACACTATGCAGGTCTATATCTGGCCCCAGCGTCCTCGTCACGTCCTCCTCTTGTCAAGGCGTAACTTCGGAAAGCTCCTAACCGAGCTGATCTTCACGGTTGAGGACATTCTTCAACTCTTGCAGAAGATCAACCCATTCTGCGTGTCGGAGCCCGACGAGGTCCATCTAAGGATCCTGAAACGTCGTCTACGTTGGCGGATTATTTACAACTGGTGCTTCGTCAAGCGCTTGACGAAATCCGCTTTCCCTCTGCTTGAGAGGAAGCGAATATCACGCGGATCTACAAAACTGGTGACCGGCTGTCGCCTGGCAGCTACATGCGTATAAGCCTCACTAGCAAGCGGTGCGAGGTGATGGAACGCATTCTGAAGCAATCTATCCTAGATCACCTCACAGGTTCATGGATCCAAAAAGGTATTCGCCGTTCTACGGATGGTTCGGCGCACTTTCTCCCATTTTGCTCGCACTGGGCCCTCATGAGACCGCTCCTTGAATGTGCCAACCAAGTTGTCCACTCAGGGCGCACAAAAGACGTCACGCTGACTGAGCCTGTCCGGCAAACGAAAATTGTTACCACCCTCAAATCCGTGGACTAGGAAACGCGTCTCGCGGTGCTTGGCCTATTTCCCCTGGAAAATCATCACCTCGGAGGGACAATAATCCTTACTTATACTCTGTTTGAATAAGGCTTGGCCAACAGGTTTTTCAACGCTGACTCAACAAACACAGCATGAAGATTTTCGAGCTCAGAGCGCACACTTTCACTAGGCAATTTTTTCTCATTTCGGGTAGTAGCTGCGTGGAATAACCTTCCTCTGACCGTTGAACGCGCTCCTTCTAGAACGTAATTCAAAGCCCTAATGGACACTTATTTTTACCAGTTCTTACGCTGGCGAAAATACTGCCCCGCGCTGGGAACTTAAAGAGCAATGCTCCACCCTTTTTCACTTGCACCTTTCAGGTGAACGACGGCCGTTGAACGACAGGAACAAAGTCAACCCGGGGAACTTGAGGGAAAGGTCCGATCCAATCCGTGATCCCTGAATCTTTCTTAAGATTATACAATTCTCTACGAAACCGTTTCGCTTCGAACGAAACTTCATTCATCAAAATGGAGCATTTTGTTCATATCTTATACCAAATGGGACCGCAGTCTTCAATTTATTCCAAATTGCTATTGCTCCATATTGGTCAGTGACTTCTCTGAAACCGTATTTCAAAGGAAGGACACTTCGACACTTGGCACTTAATGGCATTTAATGCCGGCGGCTAGACGCACAATGTATTTTTCTGCAAAACGCCTGCGGACGAAATAAAAACTTTAACGTCAAAATGTTGCACTTCTTTGCATATATGCGTAGACTGAAAACCCCCCTCATGTGCCGTTATTTTTTTGCGATTTGTTTTAATCGATGACATTTGAAAATTATTGGCGCACATTCGGTATTGGCGCACATTCGGCTTTGAACTTCGTCTGCTATGGCTTCGGAAGTGGCTTTCGTTGAGAAATTTGTGGGTGTATCGTTTTCATCCTTCACGGAATTTGAGAAGACCTTAAATCAATACATGAAGGATAACTTTGTGATATTTGTGCGTTCATCCAGTAATCGAAGCACCAACACTATTTTGCGTTATTTTGGTTATTTTGCGTCTGGTATTATCGACGTAGGCCCTATGTGGCTGGTTAGTTAGGTATCGTGTACCCCTAGCCGCATTTTAGTGGTGTGCATCGGTTAAGATCGATGAACCCGAAGGACTTTCTAGCATAACTCGGAACCTGTAATGAAAAACTCTGTAAGTTGCCAGTCAACGTTCACGATGTTTCATTGTGCGAATAGCCAGCGGCGCATTTAATCGAAAACTTGAAGCCTCCACACTTTGCCGCAGTTTTGTTGGAAGTCATTTAGGCAAACTCCAAGTCTGGTATACGCGCGAGATAGTAATGGCTGCCAACGGCCTATCGCAAGGTCTCTGTGAAGACGGTGGGATAGTTAGCGGGAACCTGGTCGCTTCACTTGTTTTCTTCTGTGATGGATTCGGAAATTACCACGGAAATATATGAACAATATTAGACCCCGCTTTTTCGCGCAAACTCAAAATGGAGCAGCCTTTTGCAACTTGTATGTTGAGTTTTCTATAGTTGCGGGTGTTCCAGCAAAGTCAAGGAATAAGGCACAGCTACGAAATTTGTTGGATCTTTTTGAAAGACGTTATATCTGGAGCATGGTAGGGTTTTGCCTTCACAGGTGTGGTGATTCCTCGGAAGAACCATTGGGATGACAGGTGGTTTTATGGGCAAAACAGAAAGACATTACGGCATAGTGGCCAGTGTTTTGAAGTTTTGGCACTGATTCGACAGATTATGATGGTCTTGTGGGGTATGTAGCACGCTTATTTGAAAGATAGTTGAGGTATGGTGAACTAGGAGCAAGTAATCAGGCGGCATGCCAGTCGTTGTACCATCATCGTGACGTAATACTTGGGTTCTTGGACAGTCTCCCACGTGAACATTTTGAGGCAGTCAGTTGAAGCTTTCATGGAAATTAAAATCGGCCAGAGAATAGGGACTAATTAAGACCAGTATGGACTGAGGACACTCTTGGGCACATCAAAGGCATGGCGTGGTTTATTGCTGTCACTCAAACGGGATGATAAGACAGACGTACCTACATTGGGGACCCAAAGTAGGAAAGTATCAAAAGGCTTTCCTATGGCACACTATATTTTGAGTCAGACTACCGCCACAAATATCAGGCGGCAGAGCGCTCACAATTTCTAACTACTGCTATGAAGTGACAGTGACCGATTTCAAAAAGGGTAATTGATATTTAGTAAGGTTATTAGATATGCGGTCGAAGCGAATGGGTGTGCGTATGTGAAAATGAAGGACGGGTAATAATAGTAATAACAATAACAATAAGGTTTATCCCCAACTTGTGGGTAGCACACCGTCTGGCATGATCATAGCTTTACAGTCAGAATGGAGCATGACTGGGGGAGTTGTGGGGGTGCGGATTGCTCAAAAAGAGGACAATGTCATAGTGGGGAATACCCGATGCTATAGTAATAATAGATTATTTCCCAAGTTGTTGGGAAAAATGGACATGAGGTCCGATTAGATCAAAGAGAGTCAGGTGACATGAACTAAAACTGAAAACCATTGCTGGCCATTGCTGACCTTGGGTGGTTAGGTAAATGGCCGGAGTCACAACGAGCAATAGTTGAGATGGAGATGGGATAATTCAAATTGGGAGCACATGTCAAGTTTTGTCTCAAAAACGTGGTTTAGTCTGAAAGCAAACAGACTCACTGGTTGCACTATTGTAGGGATGTCAGGTGCAGGGAATAGGTCGGGTGGGAGCAATTTGCTAATACATAGGGCGACCCGATCTCCGTATACGGATTTGGACTTGTGCAGGAAGCAAGCCAAAATTGCAGCAGAAAATTCAGGCTAGCCAAATCTGAGCGAAAATTCACTGGGTACTGGAAACTGCTCGAAGTTGTGACTACAGGCTTGAGTGCGCGTGGGGTTGCGGTCGAGATTCTGGAGTGCCATCACACTGGGTATGACAGTGCCGTGCCATCATCCAACTGGCATGCTTCGGTTTCTCGAGGGCCCCATAATGGCAGTCAAGGCTTGGAGGAGGGATACTCAGTTTCGTGGCGACCGGTTCTTGGTGAGACAGAGGTTGACACAGGGAGTCATGCAGATGTAGGCCTACGGATAATTTCCCTTTTGTTAGAGGACCCTGTGAGTGTAGACCGGGCAATACCCAGTCTGAATGAATGACAGTTCTAAGGGGCGTTTG